ACGGGGTTTCACCATGTTGACCAGGATGGTCTCGATCTCTTGACCTCGTGATCCACCCGCCTCGGCCTCCCAAAGTGCTGGGATTACAGGCGTGAGCCACCGCGCCCGGCCTAATATGCAAATCTTGACTGGACTGCCAACTGTGAGATTTTATTAGGGGACTTCTGTACCTGTGGGCGATTGTAGTGGATTAGCTCTGAGCCACCTTCAGATCCTACCTGACTAGAGAAGAACTCACTGTAACCCTTACAACACACAATAAACACACGTCCTCACTAAATAAATAAATAAATCCATAAATAAATGTTTAGACACTGGGATAAATGTAGATAGGTTTAAGGAGATGAGAAAATCTTAAGCTTTATATTTATTTTATTTTTTATTTTTGAGACAGAGTTTCACTCTTGTTGCTCAGGCTGGAGTGCAATGGCATCATCTCAGCTCACTACAACCTCTGCTTCCTGGGTTTAAGTGAGTCTCCTGCCTCAGCCTCCCAAGTAGCTGAGATTACAGGTATGAACCACCACACCTGGCTAATTTTTGTATTTTTACTACAGACAGGGTTTCACCATGTTGGTCAGGCTGGTCTTGAACTCCTGACCTCAGGTGATTGACCCGCTTCACCTCCCAAAGTGGTGGGATTACAGGCACGAGCCAACTCGCCCGGACAGGAAGAGAAAATCTTATTGTTAAGGTTAGGCTTGAAAAGCAAGAAAAGACAAAAGACTGTTGAGTTGCCTAGAGAAATTGCTGTACATAATTAGAATTTCATAATTAGGATTGAATGAGTATCCTTGCTAAAGTTTTAGTATATAGAAAACTGTAATAAAGGCATATACCCTTTTGGGGCCGGATGCAGTGGCTCACACCTGTAATCCCGATACTTTGAGAGGCTAAGGAGGGTGGATTGCTTGAGCCCAGAAGTTCAAGACCAGCCTGGGCAACATAGTGAAACCCTGTCTCTACCAAAAATACAAAAAATTAGCCAGATATGGTGTTGCTTGCCTGTGGATCCAGCTACTCAGGAGGCTGAGGTGGGAGGATTGCTTGAGCCCAGGAGGCAGAGGCTGCAGTGAGCTTGAGATCGCACCACTGCACCACTCTAGCCTGACGCAACAGATCAAGACCCTGTATTTAAAAAAAAGGCGAGGCTGGGTGCGGACTTTGGGAGGCCGAGTTGGGCAGATCACGAGGTCAAGAGTTCGAAACCAGGCTGGCCAACATGGTGAAACTCTGTCTCTACTAAAGACACAAAAAATTAGCCAGGTGTGGTGGTGTGCACCTGTAATCCCAGCTATTCAGGAGGCTGAGGCAGGAGAATGGCTTGAACCCAGAAAGCGGAGGTTGTAGTGAGCTGGGATCGCTCCATTGCACTCCAGCCTGGGTGACACGGCAAGACTCCGTCTGAAAAAAAAAAAAAAAAAAAAAAAAAAAAAAAAAAAAAAAACGCCTATACCCTCTTGATAAAAAGTTGATATTGGTGCAGGATTCTGATTCTCAGTCCAAAATCCAACAGTGTCAAAAGAAAAACCTAAAACTTTCTACTCTCACCATATCATAGAGTATGTAAATGACAAGAATAATTACTCAACTGGGCACGGTGGTTCATGCCTGAAATCCTAGCACTTTGGGAGGCCAAAGTGGACAGATCACTTGAGCCCAGGAGTTTGAGACCAGCCTGGTCAACATGGTGAAACCTTGTCTCTACAAAAAGTTAAAAAATTAGCTGGGCATAGTGGTACATGCCTAGAGTCCCAGCTACTCCAGAGGCTTGGCTGGGAGGATCGCCAGAGCCTCAGAGGTGGAGGTTGCAGTGAGTCGTGATCTCACCACTGCATTCCAGTCTGGGTCACAGATCAAGATCCCGTCTCAAAAATAAATAAATAAATACAAAAAAAGGATAATTACGCCAATGGAAAATTCAATCCTCAAAGTGTTAAGCCTGTGACATCAAGCTATTTTGAAAGTGGTAAGTATGGGCCCAGCACAGTGGCTCATGCTTATAATCACAGCACTTTGGGAGGCCAAAGTGGGCACATCACTTGAGCCCAGGAGTTCGAGTCCAGCCTGGCCAATGTGGTGAAACCCCGTATCTACTAAAAATACAAAATATTGGGGCCAGGTGTGGTAGCTCACTCCTGTAATCCTGGCACTTTGGGAGGGTGAGGCAGGTGGATTACGAGGTCGGGAGTTTGAGACCAGCCTGACCAACATGGTGGAAGCCCATCTCTACTAAAAATGCAAAAATTAGCCAGCCTGTAATCCCAGCTACTCAGGCAACTGAGGCAGGAGAATTGCTTGAATCCAGGAGGTGGAGGTTGCAGTGAGCTGAGATCTCGCCACTGCATTCCAGCCTGGGAGACAGAGCAAGACTTGTCTCAAAATAAACAAATAAAAATAAAAATAAAAATAAAAATGTTAGCTTGGTGTAGTGGTGGACACCAGCAATCCCAGCTATTTGGGAGGCTGAGGCAGGAAAATCATGTAAACTTGGGAGGCAGAGGTGGCAGTGAGCTGAGATTGCCCCACTGTACTGCAGCCTGAAGTCTCAGAAAAAAAGAAAAAAAAAAAGAAGAGACTCCTTTCAAGATCGAGGTCCAGAGGAGCAGCTGCGTGCCGCGTGAGCTTTAGCAGGAGGACCAATGATTAGCATTTATGATGCAGAGACAGAACAAATTCGTATAGGACCGTACTCCTGGGCGCCATTTCCACATGTGGATTTCTGGTTGCAGCAAGATGACAAGCAAAGACTAGAGAATCTTTCCACTTCACCTCTGGCTGAGCCACCCCACTTTGTTGAA